ACAACTAGTATATACTTTTATAAATAAAAGAGGAAACATATATTCGGTCATTCGGGTGCCATTGTTCTTTTCAGGATATATACCATCCTAGGGCAAGGCCAATGTATGATGTATATACACATATTAAGGTGGGACCCATGAATAGTTAGCATTTCTTATGGTATGATGCACAATGTATATGGTCTTTAACATGGGTCTCACTATAAAATAAAAAAATTAAGATGGCTGCCAACTTCTTTGAGATAGTAGTAGGGAGAGAGAGGATGTGTAGGAGAAAAAAATACTTGTTTATTCACTATGGCTAGTTGTAAGCTTGAGTTGCATCATAAGAATTTTTTTCCTATTGCTAACTTACACAATACACAATGTATAAGGTGTGTCTCGAGAATATATTTATTCCTTAAGGTTAACTTTTTAGCACATTTTGGTTGCCCTTAACACATACTCCACATAAGGGGGACGTAATTGGCAATATGTACATATGGAGTGTGGGAATCGGCTGTTTTGACTTGTTAGCTAGCCGTATTAAGAGTACTTAATAGCAGTTGGTCCATCGCCCAAGCTGATCCAGTTAATCGCTAATCTCTATGCTCCCCTCTGATAAGGATGCCATATGTCTGACACTCGTTTTCTAGTACGGGGTACCAGGAAAACTCTGTTCAGAGTATGGTTTGGAGGCACATGGGTTGGCCAGGTTGGTCTGCGGCACCCACCAGCCAAAATCAGTAGTACCACTACTCAGTTCTTGGATCTGGAGAATTTTCTTTACTGGAAGATGGTGTGCACTGTAACTTCAGAACTCCGGCATCCAGCGGTTACAAGTGTACCACTGTAGTACTGTAGTGCTAGTAGTTCTAGCGCTGCTAGCATGGGGGCAACTCAGCCAACTGCCATGACAACTTTCCACTCGAAAAGACGAGGAAACTAACCCACATGCCAAAGCATGCACGTGGTTCATAGAGCCCTAAAACAGAGTAATCCTGGTTTATTTTAGTGGCCCCTTTTTGCAGCAAACCGACGGCCTCCCTCATGCTTCTTCTCTATAGCTTGGGCAAAGTGTAGTTACCAGTAGTAGAAGTCCTCTCTGTCCCGCTCTCTCTGTTTCTGTAACGATAATACTATAAAATGGCAGGAGTCATCCGTGATCGATGCCACGACTTGGTTTAGTCCGAGCCACATGCCAAATACAACGGTCTAATCTAGGAGTAGTAGTACTTAGCATCATCAGCTGGAGGAATGGAAAAATTGGACCAAGACATAGTGGGTCGGGCTGCTTCAAAGTATGCAACCAATCACCAAAGTATGGCGATCGATATGTATCATTATCTACACGAAGGTCAAACCGTTGCACAGCTCGCGAAGTTCAGAAGACATCAAGACAACTTGCGATCGATATATGTATCGGCGGCTTCGAGACGAGCCGTGCGTGTGTAGCGTGCATGGACGCCGTCTGTTCCAGGCAGCAGCTAGCTAGCGGATGAGGCATGGCTCCCGCGAGACGGCGAGAAGACGATCTGACCGGTGGTCGCTGTGCCAACCACAGCGAGGCTGCGGCGCATTGCCATGCCGCCATCGTCAGAACTCAGAAGTTCCCTTTTCTACCGTGCTATGGGATCGAGTACCCACCAGTCTGCTACACGACATGCGTGTGGAGCCGTGGTGTATGGAGTAGGCGCTAGCATAGCAGGAGCAGCATCAGGCCGGGGGAGACGGAGACAAACAAATGCTTCCCCACGCAGGACGGAACGAAGCCTGTGCGTACCTTCATTGCCCGGCAAAGAACAGAACATCCGAAGTTCTCAACATGGGATATATTGCTATCTTGCTTGGTCTTCGGTGGATTCGTATCATCGTATGCGCTGCAACGGCAGATCAACAATCCATCTACACACCGTCCACCATTGCGGTGGAGATATAAACACACTGTAGAACATTTCGGGTGAAGAAGGCCAAAAGTGGTGCTAAAGCTACAATAAAATTCAGTGTGAAATCTGAAGCCATGGGAGGCCCAAAACCCCCTGTCTCAGCCAATATCGTGCAGTCCGTTTGTTCAGTTTGGTGCCTGGGAAGTGGGAACAGAGGGAAGCAGAGAGTGTGAACGTGAAATTCAGAATCGGGTGAAGCTGCATTCTACAATGGGCCTTTAAATTTAACTGGACCAAAGGCCTCGTGGGCTTTAAATTCAAAAGGAGGCTTAAGCTCGGGGTTAAGGGCCTTTAAATTTAACTGGACCAAAGGTCGCTGTTATAAGCTGGCCTTCAAAAGGCCCACTAATCATTAGTTGTTGGGGGAAAAAGTGCACCGAAGGTCCCTCAACTTGTCATCGAATTACAAAATCGTCCTCCAACCACAAAACCGGATACAACGCATCCTCCAACTTACAAAACCAGTACAAATTAGGTCCCTCGGCGGGTTTGACTCCTGTTTTGTCGGACGTGGCAGCTGACTCGGCGTGGGGTCTACGCGGGTCCCACATGTTAGCCTCTTCTTCCCCTCCCCTCTTTTTCTTTTTTCTCTCCTCTTCTTTTCTCTCATCGGGCAAGGCAACCATCGGATGAAGAGGAGGCCAGTGGGGGAGGCGGGAGGTGGGACTCCGGCGGCCAGCGACGGGCGACGAGATGGCGGCGGCAACGATATGGGAGCAGGAGGGCCTCCCCCCACGCCGCCACCACCGTTGCCGACGGAGGAACACGGTGAGCTGCCTCCGGTGGGCTCGCCGGAGGAAGTCAGTGGCGGTGTGACGGCGCAGGCGGTGAAGATCTCCTGACGAGGGACAGCAGCAGGTTGTTCGTCTCCAACATCATGGCCGCGCCCCCTACGTGCTCCGATCTCTCGCCGGCTGGAAGAGGAGCTCGCGAGCGGAGGAGACGACGTGCGGCTGCGGCGACGGCGGCTCGGGTTAGGAGAGGGTTATGAGAGGGCGAGAGATAGTGGGGGTGGGAGATGCATGGATGGACGACGGCGACGACACGAGAGAAGGGAGGTGGCGGCGGCTGCAACGCTTGAGAAGGGAGGCCCGGGCTCCGACGCCGAATACCACCTCCTTCGCCGCATACCCCCGCGCCCACAGCCGCTGGGAGCCACTGCCATAGACGACTCTGCGCCGCTCGGCCTCGGCGGCGGCGGCGGCTCCGGGCAGGGATAGGGCCGCCGCCGTTGCCCAGCTCCTCCCCGGCGGCGAGGGAGGGCGGGCGCGGGAGGCCGTGCTGCGCCGCCGCCGCCTCATCACCTGTCGCCGGCCGCCGGATTCCCGCCTGCCCCACCGGCCGGTTGCCCTGGCGACTATTGAAGTGCGGAGCAAATGGAGAGAAAAGAAGAGGAGAGAGGAAGAGTGGGGAGGGGAAGAAGGGGCTGACATGTGGGTCCCACGTTGAGTCAGCTGCCACGTCGGACAAAACCGGAGTCAAAACCGCCGAGGGACTTAGTTTGCACTGGTTTTGTAGGTTAGGGGACGCGTTGTATCCGGTTTTATGGTTTAAGGACGATTTTGTAATTCGATGACAAGTTGAGGGACCTTCGGTGTACTTTTTCCTTGTTGGGGAGAGATGTGTCTAAGACGGGAGGAAGAAATCTACTGGACCGGGCCAAATTGACAGATACTCAATGGAATATTGGTTGTCTGTATACATTCGAAAAACTTACCTCCCTCGACAATGGACCGAATCTAATTCTACTGTAAAAACAGGTATATATTGTCTCCTTCAACTATCAAAATCAGCTCACTTTATCTTTACGAGTGGTTTTTATTTGACGTAGCACTTGACTTGGTCTTCTAACATGGTGCTCTAACATGGTGCTTAATTAGCAATTCAACCGGAAAAAACCCATAGGGTCCAGTGGTCCACATATCGATAATATTGTTGCCATCTCACACCTCTATTTGCTCTCTTCCCTCTCAATAGTGGAGGGATCTACAGTGGTAGGCCTCCTTGGATCGTGATAGTAGCAACACTAGCATGAACTCGAGGAAGAGTAGGGGGTTATTTGTGGAGTGCAGAGCAGGCCACACTTCGTCGGGTGGAGCAAGCAGCAAGCGACGAGCGATGAGACGGCGTGGAGGTTGGCCCCTATCTCGGCTTCCTTCTCAACTCCAACCATTAGACCCTACCACCAAGATAGCCTTCATAGCTCCATAGATGGAGGGTATTCGAGAACAATGAAGGAGAAGACGTTAGCGATGGTTTCGGGCTTGCCTAGCGCGAGGATGATGCGGCAAAGTAGGGCTTCGTGGGTTTACCAGCTGTCACCAATGACTTGTGCTGTTGCCGGCACTAGCACGTTGGTGAGAAAAACAGACTCCCGTCGAGGTGGTCGAGCCTGAGCTCCAACACATCCCCAAGCCTTGTTGTCTGCATGGAGCCATCACAATCACCGTCTCCTACGACCTCGGGTCTTTTAAGGAGAAAGGGATAAGATGGCAATAATGTTTTTTTTTACTGATATACGAGTCTCTTTTAATTTTGTCATGGCTAAATTACTTGGCAGATGAATCGAATCAATGTGGCACGTCAAACAAAACTATGGACTATGATTTGACGTAAGCATCATGTAGCACATAACATCTTCAAAATCACTTGTGGTAAAATGAGATGATTTTGGTAGCTGAAAGGCTATATACATAGTTTTGTCAGCCCATAGTTAAGGGAGGTAAAATGGACTTTTCTTCATATCCGTTTTATTGCTGCGGCAGTGCGGGATTACGGAATGGGGTTTGATGGGAGTTGCGTCATAATCATGAACTTATCAATGGCTTAAACCGATTTAAAATTGTCGTAAAACATGGGAGCACCGAGCACATCCTTCTCTCCTGCTTTCCATGATATTTGACCGCCACAAACAAATTACAGGCGATCTAAACCGTCCGTTCAACCTCCAATACGGATGGCCCGACGCGACCGACGCCCCACGGCCCACGGCACCTTCTCGACCCTGACGCGTGGACCCTCTAGGCTACTACTACTCATCACCGCGGGCCCCGCGAACCAGCCCCACACGACGGACGCCACCACGCTCGCGGTGGACTCGGTCCACCAAGACCGCAGGCACAGGCGCCGGCGGCGCACACAACACCGGACCGGAGCACCGGAGGCGGGATCAAGGTGAAAGGCCACTTGTTTGTGTGGACTGTGGACTGTGGTCTGTACCTCCACGGCTCCACCTCACTCGTCGCAGCTCGAGAGTTCGCCCAAGTCTCCCCCCGATCCGTGCAGAGATCCTCGTGCGTCCGAGGTAAGCACACCCCCCCCCACCCCCAACTCCCAGTTCCTAAGCCCTCGTAGATTCGCCATTCCAACTCAGTTTTCGCGCACGAAATGTTCGTCTTCTTTCTTCGTCCTAGGTGAGCTTTATTGCAGATTCGCCGGTTCAGTTTCGTTTGCGGCTAGAAATGTTCGTGTTCTGGGGCAGTAGGATGGGTGTCGGGTGCTTGATCCGTGGTTCATGAGGAGGGTTTTGGAGTGTGAGAAGATCCGAGACACCGCACTGAATTACTGATCCCATTCTGTGCGTGTGAGCGAGGGAGAGGGAGGGAGGGAGACTGGGAGAGGAGGGGTTAGTTTTAATGTAGCCGTTGAATGATTGTGCCTGATTTGTTAGGTGAGCATGGAGGTGATGCATGATACCACTGGGAAGAAGGAAGTGGTTGTCTGTTATATGAACGCCCCTCTACCGTACATGATTGAAGAGAATTACGGGGGATGCTTCTTTGAAGACGACGTTGATCTTGCACAGGTTCTCCAGGACCAGGTTGGGTGCGACCGCCTGCTACCTTCTTGTTTGATTGTTCCTATGCTACTGATTTGTTTCTTGTTTTGTTCCTGTTCTCCTTGTTGCATAGAAATCTTAACATCATGTGTTCCACCCCATGGAAAATTGTGTGTTTGGACAACACAATGTACAATGTTATGGAAATGCAGCCAAACACTTCATGGATTAGGTTGTTAATTTGTCTTTTGTTTTGTTGTAGTATTATTGAAAGTAGACCTGAAAGGTGAAACATCTTTGGCTCTCGTGGTGCCATAATAATGTGTAAAGAATAGCCTCTTGATGACATTTACATTGTAAAACTTCTAGCTCATCCCTCATTGTTACATGGTGCTAATTACCATTATCACAAAATATTTTGTACAGTACTAGTTATTTGTCGAAGGTTTTTCAGTAGGATTGTGATGTTTCTCTTTTATAGTACAACTGCACAAGTCAACAGTGCATGATACATATGAAAAATATGATCCTCATTTGCTTGATATGCTTGCACCTTGTTCAGGAAATAGTCTATCAATTAATACAAGGAAATTATGGTACTGGTTCATCCAAAACTCATTCAAATCCTAGTTCTAGTTATAGCCATGGATGTGAATTGGGTGAACGGAAACCATCAGGAGTTGCAAGTTATGAAGCGCAACTAGTTGTTGATGAAGCTTTAGCTCGAGAGCTGCAACAGATGGAGGACCAACTAGCAAGTGCATCAATTGATGACCATAACATAATAGAACATGGTTAGTTGTTTACTGGTACTCTTCTATATAGTACAGGACAACTGGTGAGTGTCTTTCCTCTCGTAAATGCTAATACGTGGTTCAAAAATATCTGTTCAGGAAGAAAGCCAATAGCTTCTTCAACATCTAGCGGTGGTAATGCTTCTGCAAGCAGACCTCCTCAGGTAGTGATGGAGGATGGCATTGATCCAGATAACATGACTTACGAGGTGAATTCCTTCAAACCATTGTTTTGCCAGTATTTTCTCTACTGTTTCGTAAGGGGACGTGCCATTGTCAACTGGTCTTCTACTCCATGAACTTTCATTTCAAAGTACCTGTATAGTCTATGGTAACTACTGTTGTGTCATAGAAAATTCAAGTATACAAAAATTGGACGTCTCCATTTTACACACATTGCTCTAACCATGTTTACTATATAAAAATTGTAAAGTTGTTCTTTAACAGCTTATTGCTTTTAACAAATGCAAATAAATGGGATAATTGAAGCTATTTTCTTTTATTTTGTTGAATTTTGTTTGTATTTCAGGAACTGCAACAATTAGGGGAAGCTATAGGTACTGAAAGCAAAGGGTTGCCGGAAGATGTGATAGCGCTCTTGCCTACTTCAACATACAAAATTAGGATATTCTCAAGAAAGGAAAAGCATGACGAGTATGTCCCTGTCCTGATTAGATATTTCAGTGAAAATGTGATGTGCAGTTATCAACAGGTTATTAATAAACATTTTCTATGCAACACTCTCATTTACTTATTATTATTGTAGAAGGATATTTGGTTAGTACTTTTCTGATCTTAAGTTGCATCCTTCATCATTGTGCTAGCAAAGGAAGCTCCTAGAGTACTCGTTATCTATGGCTGCATGTTCATGTTGAGTTATATTGCTTGAGTATGAAAGTATTTTTAATACCCACTTCTTTGAATGTTTACAAAAACAGATGTGTGATATGCTGTATGACTTACAAGAACCGAGATAGGCTGACTAAATTGCCCTGTGAGCATCAGTACCATCAAACTTGTGTCACCAAATGGTTGAAGATCAACAAGGTAGGCCAACCATGCTTTTCAATCTTTCCAATGTTTAGTAGTGATAAGTGTATATGTGTATTTATTGTAGTTACCGTGAATATGACCTTGATTACTTTGCTCACCGTAAAATTGTTCTGCTTTTCGAAATTCCATCTTATTACCTGGTCAGGCTAGATTTAGGCTGAGTTCAAATCTACGGGTTTGTCACCCGTCCTCCCTAGCATGCAAAATGGAGCGGCGGATTAGTGCATGATCAATTAAGTATTAGCCAAAAAAACTTGAAAAATGGATTATGAATTTTAAGCAACTTTCCTATAGTTCTTTTTTTTTTGCAAAGAACACACTGTTAAGTAGTTCGGGAAGCATGCGCGTGGAAAATGAGGGAGTATAGAAGTTGCAAGAAGGGAGTATAGAACACACCCTTAGATAGAATGACAATAGTAATGTACTGACAAGAAGACTTAAATAGGTAATGAGATGGGTAAGTTATGAGGAAAGCTACCCAAGAAAAGAGCTTGTAATCTCGTGTGTTCATAGATTTACAAAATTTTTGAGACCATGTTTGCATCCAGAATGTATTGATACTGATCAGCCTTGTGACACATTTGTCAGGTATGCCCTGTTTGCAACAAGGAGGTTTATGGGTCGGGCAAGTGAAACATTACGGATTCATCTTTCATGAAAAAGGAGGCAAACATGACGGATTCATCTCACGCCAGTTCAACAGGCTTAAGAAGTATCATTGTTCACTGGCTGTGCACTCATTAGCATGCATCATGGTGGCAGGAAAGGCAATGCATTGTATTGCTAATGATCGGAAGATTGTCAGCGAGTTACCGAGGAATGTCTCAGCAAGATAAATAAGATAGATGCTTCTGTTCTGTTTTTAAGCTTTATGGAGTCTTCGAGTAACTGAGACTCTTATTTCAGCTTTCAGGCCTGGTGCTTTACACACACTGTATTGTAACATATCATAGGATGTATATCAGTATGTGTATACTGAAGATTAGTTGCATGCTAGCATCTCTGTATTGCTTGTACTCTTATCTTTTATGGTATCAAATTTGGCTGCTGGAGTCAGACTTGTATGGTCTTCTTGATGAATGGTCATTGGTCAATTCCCTGACTTCTGAGCCAACCAGCTGGAACTATGGACTGCTATCGTCTAGCCAGAGAGTGTTTGGTCTTGTTTCCAAGTGGCCAATCTATGCTTGGATAATTCTTTATAATGGAACATTGGACTATTCTACATCCATTAACGAAATATAACCTTCTAAACAGGACTAAATGATGTTGGCATAAAGGCTTTGTACAAGGGAAGCAGCTTATGAAGAGACAAATTTGTGGGAGCTTCTGAAATGAGCATGAAAATGACAAATTCGACGGGAACAAGGACACAAAATGGCAAAAGTCGCCATGAAACTGCATGCGTGGTGCTCGTCAGAGCGGAAATTCGACGCACACAACGGCACAAACGCGATAGGATATCGTTAAACCCCAAAACTTGACCATCACAGGTGGCGCGTCGAAGTACTCGTTTGACCAGACAACTACACAAGTTCATCTGGATTAGCTTTGTTTATTAAAGTGTAAATTTCACTTCGGGCCATCTTTTATTACCGATGTTTCGTTTTGTACCACCCTTTAAGCAATATTTTCATTTTGGACTGGGTAAACCTGCCTTTGTTTCACTTTGGACCACCCGACTCTCTTCTCAAGCATATAAACGATCTCGATTACATCGTCCCCTACTCGTCAATGAACTGCCACAGCTATATGTAAGACTATTTCTTCGACATATTATAAGTTGGATGTAGATGGATAAAAAAGTAAGGGTGGTCCAAAGTGAAATAAAGGTAAAAATACCCAGTTCAAAGTGAAAACATTAGTCCTAAGATGGTACAAAGTGAAACATCGATAATAAAAGGTGGCCAAAGTAAAATTAACTCTTTATTAAACCAATCCTGACGCTGCTCTGCCCGAACTGTCACGCCCACTGCTGGTTTCAGATAGGAATCCTATCCTGACGACGAAGCTTGTCATTTTCCAGACATCCCCTCGAATCATAGCATATAAGCACATCATAATCAATTCATCAAACTCGACAGGGATTTGTAGTTGTTTAGAAGGGATTTGAGAGGATTTTATTAGGGTCTGAAAAGCAATTGTTTCGGAATGAGAAGTACTTAACCGACGAAGTGAGCAGTACTAGTGGACTACTAGGCGTAGTGTCTACGAAGTGGATAGGTTTGCAATGGGCTGGGCCCCAAGCTAGGTTGCTGACTCGGATCCACGCCCATGGGCCCCGATGGAAAATGTTTCATATTGCTAGGCCCAAATCGCACGGGGGCCCAAAGGTTAGCGCAGCCTGGTCCCGGCTGATTAGACACCGGCACATGGGCCCCAGGTAGTTAATCATTGATGTGAGATTTTCTGGTTGTTAAGAGGAAAATCCGGAGAGAAGAGAGAGGTCCCTGTCACACACGCTGGCTAATACTCCTCCCATCTCCTAACACCAGAAAACGTATACATTTAATTTCCATTTCTTGTTCATCGTGAATAATGGACCAGACAAAATCAATGGCTGGACAACGTTTCAGATACTAGATAAGAACAAGGCCTCGATGCTGCTTATGTACTAATACTACAACATGTTGATACTTGATACAAGTATATAATCAGTGGTCCAGTGCACACCTGTATTTATTTTGTACCATCAGAAAACAACGGAGTTTATCCGTGGGAGAAAAATAAAAGAAAGGGGTACACAAGTCTGCATGCACCAAACATTTTGATGGCAACTTGGCAACCGGTGGAAACTTGGCAGAATGCCGCCAATTGTGGCCGGCATGATGATACTTCACGCGTGTACGTTGCTCGGTGCTCCAAACCTTATCGGTTCCCACGGCGAAGAATGCCCGTAGTCTCGTCATACACTCGTACTCCCGCGGAGATAAACACTCTCTGTAGTTAGCTGAATATTTTGTGCCATGTGTCGCCACAACCCTGAATCCTGATTTGATAAAGATGACAAGAAAACGATACAATCTCCCTGTGCTGATGCTGCGCTGCATGGATCGAAAAGGGCAACCTCTCTGTACTGATAGGGATCGATACGGCATCGATCCAGCCGAAGATATTTAGCACCTCCATTTCGCGCAATTATCAGTGACAACCGACAACTCTATTGATTATATTTTTCTTTTCCAAGGAAATCTTAGGGTGTGTTTGAGGAGAAGGGGATTGAAGGATTGGGTAGATACGTAAAACGAGATGAGCTATTAGCTCACGATTAATTAAGTATTAACTATTTTAAATTTTAAAAATAAATTAATATGATTTTTTAAAGCAACTTTTCTATAGAATTTTTTTTTAAAAAACACCATTTAGTAGTTTAAAAAATGTGTACGCGGAAAACGAAACAAACAAACTCACTCTCTACCCTCTCGAACGCTGCCTTAGTATCTTTGCCCTTTCTGACCACAAAAGGGAGGGTGCTTTAGTGCGAGTAGAAAACTGCAGTTCATGCAGGTGAAGATGACGACGTGGATATCTTCATCTTTCTCGATCGGTTGTTGCTTTCGGAGTTTCAGTACTTGTCCATCGATGTTTCTTACCCGTTTTCTCATCCTTCGATGATAGTTCAATCTTCAACCGATATAGTAGTATATCTGATCTAATCTACTCCAAAAGGGCTGAATACTTATCTGATCTACCGGCAGAGCACGCGATTATTTACGTTGGGAAGGAGTTTTCCAAGAAAGAGAACAATTTAACGATCAGAGCACATTAGTCATTAGACATTTTCAAGCTGTCAAACATGGTGCGGTGGTCAGTGTAGCCAGTATAAAATGGACATGAAAACTTTGTTTTTTTTTTTTTGCGTTACATGAAGATTTTTATCTCTCCTAATGCATTGCGCATTAGCAGCCAACTGGGAATATTTCATATGAAAAAAACACCTGTCAGAATCACATAAGGACACGAAATATATACTGCACCACCGAAACTGATTGCATTGCTACACACCTAACCTGAAAGACCTGTTCCCCAACTCCAGGCACATTCAGAAGGCTTTCATAAAGAAGAAATAGAAAACAAATTACCGTAAATCCAATCTGAATCACAGGCGGTATCTAAACAGTAGCACTTACAGAACAATATCAAACTTGACCTTAACTTATTTTGTCTGAAACTAGCAACCCAAAAGGCGCATATATTTTACACAGTCATCACCAGGTCAGCAAACAGAACCTCCTAGTAGCTCTTATGTCTTCAGGCTTCCGCTATAACTTGAGAAGACTGGCCCTCCAAAGCCTTCTCTTTTCTCCTCCAATTCGACAAATTTGACGCTATTCCGCATTTTATTCAGATCCATTCCCCCTCGTTCGCAGCTTTCCGCGTGAAGGTACGAGCATTTTAGAGCAGGTCAGGGATTTTTTTTTATTTTTTTTACGCTTGATTTGATGCCTAAAATGGCCAAGAATCTGGGCCTTGATTCGGAGACGAGTTTCTGATTAATTCGAATTGGCTGCTCCGGATAAGGTGACCGGTTGTTTAGCTCCGGAAGTCCGGATGAAGTATTCCTCGCTGCAAATCGGTTGAATTGAAGCGGAATTAGCGGTTGTCCAACCGCTAACGCCCGGACAGAGAAGAAAAGGTATCCGCTTGGGAAGGCTAATCCGGAAGCAATCGCGGCGATCCGTCGTCGTTGAATCGCTTCGAGAGTTTTGGCATTTCTTCAGCGTGGCATGGGGGCGGGGGCGTCGAGCATGATGGGACCGGAGGGGTACGGCCGGGGATGGGGGCAGACGTCGCTGGGCGACATGCCGGAGAGCTGCGTCGCGGCGGTGCTGCTCTACCTCGACCCGCCGGAGATCTGCAAGGTCGCCCGCCTCAACCGGGCGTTCCGGGGCGCCGCATCCGCGGACTGCGTCTGGGCGGCCAAGCTCCCCGCCAACTACCGGTACCTCGCCGCCCTCGCCGCCGCTGCCGACGACGACAGCGGCGGCGACGGCGCCACGGAGGGGAATGGCAGTCGCTGCTCCTCCGCAGCCATGATCAAGAAGGAGATATACGCACGCCTGTGCCGGCCCACCCCATTCGATGGGGGCACCAAGGTAAGCTAATTTATCCTCTGTAATAATGACTCTCATTGAGAACTGAGTTTAGCACCTGCCTTATATCCTGTGCTTTCTGCTCTTGTTGTTGGCAATACATCTATGTTCTTATTTAGGTTGAAGAGAGGACATCGAGGTTCTTATTGATAGGAATAATAGCATTCCTTATGTGGAAGAGAGGGACATCGAGTAGAAAGTAGATTTGATTGTGAATTAACAATTAGTAATTGTTGAGTGAGATTTGTTACTTTATGGTGATATTAGAATTAGGATGACTTGATTGTTGAGAATCTCAAACATCTTATTTGATATATCGGAGCGCTAGTAGGATAGATCGGAGCACTAGTAGTAAAATATGAAATAATCATATGGAAGTTGAGGAATTTTTTTTCATGTGTATTTGGTTTGCCTTGCTTGTCTATGTTGGATGATGCTTGTTCTTGCTTTTCTTGTATGTCGTGTTTCAATGATCTAATTGAAAAATATATTTGTGTGTAGGAATTTTGGATGGAGAAGAACAAGGGTGGTCTTTGCATATCCATTTCCTCAAAGGCTATGGCAATCACAGGCATAGATGATAGGAGATATTGGAGTCACCTCTCCACAGAGGAGTCCAGGTACTTCCCTCATGGCTTAAAACCTCGGTGTGAAGTTCCTTTAGAAGTTAAGATTAAATTCCATGAAACTATTAGTTTCGAGACCTATTCAAGTTTTGGTTTTCATAGGATATTTGACTAGAAAGAATGGGAATAATATCGAATACCTCTCACTGCATGGTTTATTTTCCTAAATATCCTACTGTATGGAGGTCAGAAAATTTCACTTAGCTCTGGATACGTGCTTATTGGTGTATTGGAAACTCTCGATAATTATGACTCTCACCATGCTCTCTTTAACTTAGTGTCAACTGCTCTTTATCTTTGTTATCATGGCCATAAATTTATTTCCCCTTTGTCGGAAAATCTTTCTTATGCTGATACATGCTTTCATCTCGCACCTGTCCAACAAGAGAACTCCTCTTCTTTTTCTCAATTCAAAAAGAGCTTGTTTTCCATAAGGTCCATCAAAGTAATAAGTACAAACAAACTGAGAAGGCTAATCTGTTAGCAAGCTTATTGTCTAAACTGCTAGTAACACCCTGTGCCGGTTCATTCAAAAAACAAGAAAAAAAAAAGAAACTGAACTGCTAGTAACAGCTCACATCTTTGCTAGCTATTCCGCTTGAGGGTATGCTTGGCATGTGTTGGTGCTTGGCAAGGTGCTAGGGTCCAATAGCTGAAAACTGGAGCCTTATTTTCTGTAGGCAGTGTACTCTACCAAATATACAGAGCTCGTGCGTACATAAGGCCCCAAATGGCGCATGATTCATTTTTGTTGATCAATCGTGCTGATATATGTCATCCTTTGGGTCATTTCTGTTGTAGAAAATTCATGTTGTACAAAATCATCTAGCAGTTCCGTACTACCATTGTCTCCAGTCCGATAATTTCTGATGCAAATTGTATCTTCAAAATTTAGGTCCTTCTATTTCATTCATCACCTATACGGTTTGATGCCAAATGATTTCTTTGATAATTTTGCATAGTTAGTCCTCTCAGATACCTCCACTGGGTATATCTTTTTAGTCTTCACTGATGTTGCCAAATAACAAGTGACTAAACCAATATATTTTTCACCATACAGATTCCACCATGTCGCGTATCTTCAGCAAATATGGTGGCTTGAGGTGGCTGGGGAAATTGATTTCTGCTTCCCTGCTGGTTCATACAGTCTTTTCTTTCGGCTCCAGTTGGGCCGACCGCACAAGTACATGGGCCGCCGAGTCTATGGCTATGAGTCAATCCACGGCTGGAACATTAAACCGACAAGGTTTCAGCTTTCAACTTCAGATGATCAGCAAGCTACGTCGCAATATTATCTGAATGAGCCAGGAAACTGGATCCTTTACCATGTCGGGGACTTTGTCGTATCAAGTTCAGATCAGTTAACCAACCTTAAGTTCTCCATGATGCAGATTGATTGTACCCATACAAAAGGCGGTCTATGCGTTGATTCTGTTTTTATATATCCCAAGGGTCATCGACATGAGGACTGCACAATCTGCAAGTAAATTTTGGAAAGCCACTGGATCCCGTTCTCCTTTTTCCAGGTCATTCCTGTCCAAAAGCTCAATGTATATATCCAAACTTCCCACAGAAAAAATTTTTGTATGGGCGTGAAGTCTTGATCGATATTCTTTGTAGTGTTAGCTAAATCAGCAGGAAGATTATAGATGTAGGTAGTGAGTTAGGCATGAGTGCTTCTGTGCTTGGAGTTTTATCTGTAGAAAGAGCAGTTCCATTTGTTCATCATTTGTGTAGTGATGTTTAGGTGATAAAGTCTTTCGCCGATGTTTTTTGAGATTTGTACAATTTCCCCCTTTCTTGTACAGATTATGTCGTATTTTTACTTGTAAATAATATGTCAGATTAAAATGTTTATAGTTTGTTCTACTACTTATTCTACTTAACTGTGTCTTGGTGGATAATTTGAGGCTTTGAACTGAACATACTGGTTTGCTGGAATATTTTATTAGGGGGAAAGAAGGTAAGAGAAAACAAGGACATTAGTTCACTTTAGTCTCTCAATTTATCATCAAGTCTGAAATTCATCCATCAACTGAAATACCAGGTATAACTTATCCCCTAATTCACAATACAATGTCAACTTTGATCCCTCGAAAGTTGGTACTATAGTAGCCGGTTTTGGCTGATGTGGTGAGTGGGGCCCACGTGGGCCCCATATGTTTGCGGGTAACCGTTGTCTGCGTCATTGTCCTCCTACCTTGCAGCATCATCATCACCTCTCTTTGGGTAGATGCGCCATCAGATTTGTTGGCATCTACATAAGATGATGTGGCGTCGGACCTGCGTGATGGTCTTTCCCATAAATATGAGGTCGCGGTTACGGCCTGCGTGTACGGGGAGTCAAGGGGAAAACCACGGCTTTGGTTGATGGACTCTGACGATGACGACAACGGCTCTGGTGGGGGGCCAACGGCTGTAGTGCCGCAGAGTTTCCACCACCACTCCATAAGCGCCCGATACAAGCTTAGGATTTGGCGTCGGCAATCCTCTTGGCGATCTTGCGGAGGCAGTAGTTGGAGCTATCATGGAATGGGTTCGACGAGTTGATGCACTTCGGCCACGATATCCCCCCCCCCTCCCCGCCGCCGCCATTGTGCCCTGTGCTCAGGCTTCGAGATTCGGTGGAACCCTAAAAGAAAAGGATTAGCTTCGCGTGCGATTAGGGATTGAGAAGCTACGGTGATGGCAATGGCGACGATGGCAAGGTGATGTGGTGGGCTTTTCCCTCCTTCGCGAGCTCTTCGTGCCGGGCCACCATGGCCCTTTCCTCGCTGGCCACCCCGCTCCACGCTTGAGAATATGAGAGATGGGAAAGAGAGGGAAGAGGATGGAGAAGAGTTGGCTGCTGACACGTGGGCACATGTGGTTCCCACAAACCACGTCAGCCAAAACCGTCCATTATATTGTCGAGGGACCAAAGTTGAGACGGTGTTGTGAGTTGGGAGATGAGCTATACCTGATATTTCTGTTTAGGGATGAGTTTCAGACTTGGTGAGTGGTGACAACTTGAGAGACCTAAAGTGAACTTATTCAGAAAACAATAGAAAAGCGTTTCAAGAGGAACCCTATGGGCCTTTGGGTGCTGGGCTATGCTCAGTTGGGATCTAGCGGGCCAACTCTTGCGTCGGAGGAGTCTTGTTCACTAAGAAGTGTAATGGGCCTAGCGGCTCTGGGTTTCCAAGCTTAGAGTTGTTGTCGAACACAAAAGTTGCGCGTAGTTTTTGCTTTTCTACACTCTAATCCTTTTCTTGTCTAAATAAAAGAATAAACTTTGAATAATCTGGCCCCTTTACCTCTTGGACGTATATATAGCACATCAAGCTGCAAACCTAACCGTTCTACAAGAGATTATGCTATGCGCTTTATAAGTGCGTAAGATTATCAGGTTGACAAGGCCATTGAAGCTGGGAAAGCGAAAGCAAGGCTCGTTAGTGGTAACTCGATCAGCACAAGGAAATTAAAGACAAGTATGGAAGCATCTCAGTGGCCAAAACAACCTTAGATGCAGTAGTTTTCTGGCAAGCAAAGCTAGCTTTACACTGACGCGGGATTTACGTGGTCGACGGCATCGCGCTCGTGTTGTCGTGGGGAAACGGGAACTCGCCGAGATTACCGGGCCATCAGAACGTGCGGCAATAATAATCAGACTTCGTCTTCCGCCTGATAGAGTAGGACTCGTTTGTCCTGGAGCGGCACACTTTTCTTTTTCTTTTTGCCAAGCTAGCTAGTGCTGCCTCCTCTTGTGCAATGCCTTTTTACACCGGGTGCCAGATGGGAACGTACGTGACCATGGGACACGACTGGTAGTAGCTAGCTACCTGTATCATTAGGAGGGAGGAGTAGTTGTTACCCACCGAGCTAGCTAGGGAGAGGAGGGCGAACCTGCTCGCTCTCAGTGCTGAGCTCAATCAGCAACCGTGTTTTGACTGAACTGGTATGCACCTTGAATGCATTTTTGGCGGCAATGATGCATGGCAGTGCGATGATGGCTTTGCTGTGTTGAAGTCGTTGGAACACTATGATGGGGTGCCCTGGCACAGGGCATGCCATGCCAATGCCATTGCCAGGGGCAGGGGGCTGATACTGATATACTGGGCTGGCTGGCTGGCTGGCTCTGACGGCCCCGGCGCCTCCCTGTCTCTGGCCGGCCTCACGAGCGGTGGACGTTAAATCGCCCCCTGCCTCTGCCTCCCCTCTACTGGGTGGTCCAATCTCATCCATTGTGCTGTGCTTGTGTTCAGTGCAGGTTGCTTCATGTTTGGTCTTCCTGTACTCTGGGCCACAGTGGTCTAAGTACGCGCCGGTCGATCGACGTGTCGACCGGTGAGAGCATGCATGCATGAGTGCACCAGCGATCGACGGGATTGCACTCCGCGACAGTGCTATATACGCATGCAGCGGGGGAGAAAAAGAAAAGGCGCGCGCGGTCAGTGATGCGACGTAGCCTGGCGTCCACCGATCTCGTCGCGCGCGCGCGCGCAGACATGGCCGGCCCTGGCGCCGCAACAGTGACCCCCTCCTGATCGGTGCAGGCCGTGTGCCTAGCTAGTGTGTGGGCATGCATGCAGAGACGGCACTGTGGCGTGGCGTCCTCCAGCGTAATCGATCTCACGCGCGACTAACGCCCCTCGCGCGTTTCGATTCCTTCTCCCTAATAATCATGGATTGCACTCTCGCGGAGCGAGAGCGAGTTTAATTTCTTTTACCACCGCCCCTTGTACTTGCAGCCTTTTGCTGCCGCCGGCCGGCCGGTCAAGGTTTGAAAGTCGTCTAGAGAGCGCGCGATCGATCGAGCCCGCATTGTCATTGACCCAAGAAAAAATAAAACCGATCCATCCGCCGCGCCATGCACGTCAAAGCGAGTCGCTGTCACCGCGCTCGATTCGCGCAGCAAGTTGCACCGGCGTTGGCCACACGTCGTGCGCGCGTATCACATACGTAGTACGTACTCCTATCCTAGCTAGCTACGTCGCTCGCTGGACGGAGCCGACATGGCGAGCACGGCGCCCATGTCGTCGGCACGTCGTTTGCTGCATGCGCGCGCAGGCGGCCGCGGGTCGTCGCTAGCTAGCTGATCGATCAGTCGATCTGCAGGCGCGGCTCGAGAGGCTTCCTTGGGTTATTGAGGGGCACGGTAGGGCAGGAGGCCAGCGCGCAGCATACTACATGGCACGGATAGGGCTAAGGGCAGGGAGCAAACAGGCCGGTACAATTATAATTCGGGTAGCGAGCTGTAAAGCCGACGGTTGGTTGGGAAGCACGCATGGGATTGGGCAGACTGTTACGGATTACAGGCCACAGTTACGGATAGCATCAAGTGGCTACTATAGTCGAGAGATTTGACACAGAAACGGGGCTGATCGATCGCTGGTGTCCGCCTGTCGTTTTTGCGGCAACTTGCGCGTCTAATCCAACTCCAGCCAAAGGGGTCCCGGACGTAGCAGTAGCCAGCAGGATAAGCACGACGACAGGGGGGATTAATTATGATATGATTCCAGCTCGGGAGCAGGCATCTGATCTAGGGTTGGTGCTGCAGAGAATCCCTGCCTGATCGCTCGCCCTGTGTATCGCTGCATGGGCGAATGGGTGTGTGTGTGTGTGTGTGAGAGAGAGAGAGAGAGAGAGAGAGAGAGAGAGAGAGTTGGGATGGATCTGTTGCCCAACTGCCAGCAGCTGCACCCCTGAGCCAGGTCCGTGTGTGGCACCGCCGATTGCTCCCCATACACGCAGCAACAAGGGAAGAACACCTGACGGATTGCTTGGAGCCTTGGATACGTGGGATTGTCTAATCCATTCCGAATCCAAGACAATACTCTCCCTTCGTAAAAAAGATCACACACCGTATAAAAAATATAAAGATTTTTTAAGTTGTATACGGTAATGGAAGTCGGTTGTGACTATATGAGGAAGCACAGCAGTAAATAAAATCTGAGTAGAAGTATTAATTTGTAATATCTGATCTATCAAATTTTTTTATAATTTTGCATGGAGCAAGATTTTAAATGTACAGTTAGATATGATATACAACTTAGTGCTTCAATTTTTACAAATACAATTGTATTTCATATTTTTAAAATATCCTTCTGTTTTGAACAAATTAAAAAATCACTTGTATTGTATGTTGTGTACAATTTATATAGATCATTAGATTTATTTCCACTCCTATAATTTGGACCCACCACTATTGTGTGTATCTTTCTCTCTCTCTCTCCTTTCCTTTTCAATTACTAGGATGAATTTTAGGCCTCCATCATATGGTCCTAGAAAAGCAGCCACCATATCGCTTCTAGAAACCTAGAAATTGCCACATTAGTTATTACAAAATAGACAATATGTACCATTTGACCATGGTGCACCTAAATTATAAATGGGGGAGATAAATCGATATATTTTACGCAAAATACAACTATATTTATGGAAACATAAACTTATCAATATATATATATATATATATATATATATATATATATATAATACAATAGTATCTATAGAAAAGCCATGAGCTATATATCAAATCGAATTATAATTTAAAATTCTATTGTACGCAAGATATAATTATATTTTTTAAAACAATTGTAAGTACAATAAATCCAATTCTAGTTTTATATTCTAGCTCCCCACAACTTTACGCAGGAAATGCACTAGCTTAACCATGAAAATTAGTACGTAGTTTTAAGGGTTTCAAGGGAAATTTAAAAAGGAGCATGAGTGATCCAATATAATAAAAGGGTTAAATATGGGATTATTATTTTTCATATTTATATGCTGTTTTTCGACGAATCCATATAATTAAAGCTGGGGTTTGATTGGCCACAAAAGCTTAAATATTATTCTCTCCGCCCTAAAATATAACAATTTTTAGCACT